CTAGCTCGGCGAAGGGACGCTCAAGCCGCTTTGCCGAGTCCCTGTCAGACAGAAAAGCTTCGAGACTTCTGCTGATGATGTAGGTGGTCTATAAATAGTCTGGTAGTTATACCCCTGCCATTTTGGCCTCATTTTTTTTATTCCTTTTCCCTGCTTCGCTTCTTCTGCACTTCTCTAACGGTTTATTGGCACCCTTGACGGGGAGCGATCGATGACTTGCCAGAATGCCAAACATGAAAACAATATTTTTGTCATCAATGGTTAAAGTAGGGCGGAATTTTGACTCTTGCGTTAATCCCCCAATGCGCCACGGCCCTGCTAACTGGCTCTTACATAAGAGCCCAGAGAGCAAGAAAAAGGAGGCAGAATCTGAGAGAGAGGAAGACTGTGTCTCTACAGCTATAAACATAAAATCCCTGACCAGCCCGGCGGAGCACATATCTTGCATAGGAACATTTCAAATAACACTTTTCCAGTATATCGCACCACTGTTTGTTCTCATGTGCTAAAGCAGAAGAGAATTTTGATGGAATTTGAGATAGTTGCAAAGCTCCAACATGTCATTGTGGGTGACCCGCTATAAATACATTGGTACCTTAACTTCCAAATTGATTTAATTCTCGGGCTGCAGCTATCAAATTTTACTACGTTACATGGGTACACAGTACAAGCAGTGAATCAACTCTGGCAAAGAACCACGCTTCATGCTAATGTCCACAATCATTTTATTGCTCGTCCATCATGGAACACGATGAAAACTAAAACAGAGATATTTTGCAGTATTTAGAGTCAATACTGTATTTACAATCTTGTCTTGGACTCAAACATTCAGTAATAGATAAACAAAGCATAATATACCGTGTGCACCTTGTTAACCAGAAGTAGATAAATCAAACGTAATGACAGTCCATCACACGACATTGCGCTTCTCCCTCCAGTGAGCTCTTGCTCTCTGTCTGACAGCATTTGTGACCCAAACTGGAAGTAATTGTTTCCAAAACATTTTTGAAAGAAATAATTTAACAGAAAGCCTTAACCATTAAGGTTTATATGTAAATAAATACACATACATAGAATACTAGACTCAAAGATTGTAGATTTTTGTTGTCATGGCAACCAATCAAAGGAAATCCAAAGTTGTGAGGTGTAACAGTGTCGATATTTGACTTTAGTTTAATCCCACTTGAAACATAAAGCATAACGTTTACATTTGTGGTCATAGTAAGAATTCTGACATGCAGACGCTGCATTTCTCACAGGCGTCAATAACGTGACATCATCTTTAGCAGACATCTCCAAAAAATGATAACATCCAGGAGACTATTATAGCTGCTTGGCCTCTGGAGAGTAACAAAAGTTAAAAAGAAGGAATTGGGAAGCTCTCTACTTCATGTCAAGGGATACAATGTTGATGATTGAGGTGCAGACTTCTGCATATTGACGCCTGCATACAGCTGCAACCACCCACGTTGACGTGACTGTTCCCATTGACACAACAGGTAAGTCACCCCAAAACATTTCTAGCTCCTCCCGCCTTGCTCCTTTTTCATTTCCTCCCTCCTCGATGGAATTACTGGTGGGGGGTGCTAGCATGTAAACCTTGGAGCGAGGACTTAGGAACGGGCAATAGAGGGATGGATGAGCCCATTGTCAATGCAGTCTACTCGAAGCAACCCGGGTATATAGTCACGCCCACGAACAAACACGGGACACGCGACGCATGGTTCCGTCAATTGTCAGCAAAGCACGAGTCCATCAGTGATGAACTGAAAAGGTTCCAGTGATGGGCAAAAACCCGTCAGAGCATAGTCTGTCACTTTTTTGGGAGTTTCTCGTCATTGGTCATTTGCCAGCAAATCAGGACAGAGGCTGGAGCCCAAGGTTTGCAGCTGCTTTTGCAAGAGCAGAGTCCAAAATTTTAGATTAAAAAAAAGTAATCTAACATTTAAATCTCACGTTTCTCATTTGATAAAGGTCTGTTGAATGTCACTTAAAAATAAAGTGAGAAAAGGTAAGCAGTCATTGTATGTCCTATATTTTTTTGTATGGAATAATTGGAAATATCTATGTCATGGTACTTGTGGAGGCTCTCAGTCGTACAGGAAAGTTCCATCGTAGAAAGGGTTCTGTCAGTCGTCATCTGTACCTGTGGGTAAAAAACAAAAAAACAAATGTCATGGTACATCATTATCATGATATAAAATGGCCTATATCATGATAGAATATTTTGTCACCCAACACCAGCATCAACAACATTGCATTTTTTGGAAAACGACCATAAACCCCCACACTGGACCCGCCAGCTTCATGTGGAATGTTTGATCGAACACCTGATTCAAACCAAGAAACAATTTAAACATAGCATATTCTTAAAGGATTTCTCCAAGTGGATCATCACAGATTATTTTCAATGATTTAACACACTGCTAATACATGGATGACAAAGTTGAGAGTGATCATTAATGACAAGGAAACCAAAAAGCAATACTGATATTATTATTATGGTGGCATGATGCTATCATGTTTTATATCAGTCAGTGTGTGTATGTGCGCATCCTAAAGGCATAGATGATGTCTACATGGTTACAGTTCCATCGTAGAAAGGGTTCTGTCAGTCGTCATCTGTACCTGTGGGTAAAAAACAAAAAAACAAATGTCATGGTACATCATTATCATGATATAAAATGGCCTATATCATGATAGAATATTTTGTCACCCAACACCAGCATCAACAACATTGCATTTTTTGGAAAACGACCATAAACCCCCACACTGGACCCGCCAGCTTCATGTGGAATGTTTGATCGAACACCTGATTCAAACCAAGAAACAATTTAAACATAGCATATTCTTAAAGGATTTCTCCAAGTGGATCATCACAGATTATTTTCAATGATTTAACACACTGCTAATACATGGATGACAAAGTTGAGAGTGATCATTAATGACAAGGAAACCAAAAAGCAATACTGATATTATTATTATGGTGGCATGATGCTATCATGTTTTATATCAGTCAGTGTGTGTATGTGCGCATCCTAAAGGCATAGATGATGTCTACATGGTTACGTCCAGACAGCCTGTGGGCTTTGGCCCTGCTCAATTCAGATTGGACCAATGTGTGTGTGTGTGTGTGTGTGTGTGTGTGTGTGTGTGTGTGTGTGTGTGTGTGTGTGTGTGTGTGCGCGTGCGTGCGTGGGTGTGTATTGCAGGAAGCACGCTGAGAGGAGCTGTCTGATGTGGCTGACTCCCTCTTTATTTAAGAATTGTGTAACCACAACATGAACCCTGTTTCCTCCTCTTATGCGACAAAAGATAATCTAGCAATGATCCCAATTCTACACAAGTACAATGTAAGTACAAGTGGCAGAGAAATAAGGCTGTAAAATGGAAAAAAACTGCCTTGCGGGTTCACTGCTTAGAAGATGGTTACAATTGTAGAGTGCAAAACAGTAGTTATGACAATAGATTTTTAAACATAACTAGCCTGTCCACCTCTAAATGCCATGGGAACTAGTAAATCTGTGAACGTTTTCTCCTTAATACTCATGACTTCTTTAAGAGGAAGAAGCTTTGTGCAAATTTGATTTAATTAAAATGTAATACTTATCCACTGTCACAGGCTAGCATGCACTGCTTTCACTAGCAACCTGTCTACACACATGTAGACGTGTTTACAAAAGCAGAGTCACAGTGTTGCAAACTGTATTTACCAACTTTTTTAGCAACTGTTTATTTATTTATTTATTTTAAAGCAACAGAAGAAATAAACAACATTAGCGGAATCATTTTCACATTGGTTTCAGTTTGACCAGAAGGCAATCTTGGAGTCAATCCTGATGAAAATGGCCAAAAAAATGGTGCCATTTGAAAGTTGCAAAATCGGGGAGCTATTGACACTTGGGAAACTTTTGACCCGAGGTATGTGCTTCCAAGCCACCGATATTTTGCAGAGATGATCTTACCTCACCTGGACAACTCAAAACAGAAGTACTGTTTGCATGCACCGCGATGTCACAGATTTTTGGCTCCCTCTTTCCGTGAGTCAGCAGTAACGGTCTGTGTGGAAAAATAATCATCACAAAATCTTGTGCTATGGCATATCATCCGTGATTAGAAATACAATCTACAACAAGTGATCTGTATTTGTATGACGTGTCCCCCAAGCCATTCGCCGCAATCTACAGTAAATGACTAAGATGAGAGCAAGACAATCAAAATACCAGAGCAATGTAGTTACCAAACTAGCTAAAACCAAGTCTAGCATTTTCTATTTCTTCCTCTACCTCTCCTTACTTTTTGTATTTTCCTTCGGTCTGGATTCCAGCAGCAGCCACATGTGGATTTTTGTTGTCATGTGTCGGTTCTTTGACATTTTATACTTTGTAAATAATGGTACAGCAGTCTATGTGTACCAGGCTTAAGATACTGTCTACACCCTTGCTATTAAAAATGCATTTCAAGCCATATACGATCTCAGCCTGGATGATGTTGTTTTCTTAGTTTTACATTTCCACTTTGCACACTGTGTGCTTCCCCAGAGCAAATATCAGGGACGTATGCATGAAGGAAATGTCAGGAAACGCACACACAAACGCACTCACATGCATACATGTGCCCGCACACACACCCATAGCAACGGCCCACCTTTATATAAGTCAGAAAGATCACTGTCAGTATGACAACAAATCATTTTTGTTTGAGCAACATGTGCCATCCATGACGCTGCAGACCTCTCGGTTAGCTGCAGTGGTACTTGGCCCCACTCGGCTCAGTTTGGGGTGGTCGACTTCTCACTATAAAGTCTTCACGGGAAATTGCTGTCACATCTCTAGTGGAAAGCCATGTTTAACAAAGTCGAACAAAGAGTGCAGGGAGTTCCCAGGGTCATCAGAAGGTCTTGAGTTTGTTTTGTTTGAAAAAAATAGCTCCCTAAAGTTTCCTACAGTAAAAAAAGATTTTCAAAATTTCAAACAGACCGGTGTCTTTTCTGCGTCTAGGATCACCACCACTGCAGCCTGCATGATGGACCTGCGCCGTTACCCTCTCGATGAGCAAAACTGCACCCTGGAGATCGAAAGCTGTAAGTACCGTCGTCCCTGACAACGTCTCACTCCCACTCGCCGACGTAGATTTCGATCCCACGTACGCATGCAGCTCTGTGGGTTTTTGAAGCCGGCGCAAGGTAGAAATCGGCGTGATAAGGCGGGATGTAAAATGCTGAGAGAAGCTGATGAGATTCGTGGAGATACACATCAAGAAGGGGAACATCACTAATGGTTCACCGGCTGATAACATCCAGCCTAATTAATTCAGCTACACTGGCTTGATTAGGTCCAGTGTTTGTGGATGTTCCGCCGCCATGTTTGCAAGGTACAAAGAATTCATTTTCCATGGAGGTTGTTATTTTACAGCGCTGGGAAGAGGAGGGGAGAAAGGGTGGAACATGAGGAAGATGAGTTCCTTGTCATGCTTTATCTGGGTCCCCGGGGAGGAGGATTGTTGGGCCGGGATACGGTGTAGGGCTCAGGCTCACTCTTTCTGGGTTTCATCACAGTGCTGCCGGAATTTCGTGCCGGTGGTAAGCAGCGGAAAAAACAGCGGCGGGTCAGAACGGCCTCTCTCCGCTCCTCTTCCTTGACGCTCGCCATAGCTCCCCCCATCACTTCATCATCTCTTTTCTTTGCACACTCTCATCCTGCAGCCCTTTTTTTTATCTCTTTCTCTCTCTCACTCATAACCTCTTTCTCCCCCCCCCCACCCCCTCTCCTCCTCTACTCTCAGGCACACACGCACTGAAGCACGCAAGCCCGGTTTTGATCAGCAGACAGTATCTGTTCTCATATGGATTAACTGGCAGCGGTTTTAACGGTGGAGTCGCTTCATGCCAGAACATGCTATTTTATTCAGACTAATGAGCGCAGAGAACTCTCACTTGACTTGATAAACTTGATGCATTTTTAACAGACACGGGTCTGAAAAGCCCGGATAGCCCCCGTGCTCCAACAGCAGGGACCGTCACTGGTTTTGCATGCATGATTTGTTTGGATTTTACAATTTCCCAAAAGAAATCATGAAAATAAAATAAATACAACAACACAGTTGTTTTGAGTGACGTTTTATCGATCAACAATGTGAAGTGGATAGAAAAAGTCTACACACGCCTGCACTTAACACGCTGCAAATGTGCGTCTCATGCCACCGCGCCAGGTCTCTACTGAAGTAAGCAGTGATGTCCTTTTCACAAACTCACAAACTGTTGTATCCACTTTATTTTTCTGTTTCGTTCATGTTAGGGGATGTTATGGCTTTTACTCATCGTGGCATTGGTGTGTGCGTGCGTGCGTATGCGCACATGTGCCTGGGTGCACGCGCACATGCCTCAGTGCATGTGTGCATTCGTGCACGTGCAGTAATGGGTCGATCGTGGGAGTTTGGCTGCTTGAAAAGTCAATCTTAGGTCAAAAACGGTTGGGCACCCTAGTGCCAGAGCCTTGCCCGGTGCATATAATCTATGATAGCCAAAGAGCCAATCCCCATGCAAGTTGCCATTTACATGTGCACGTGCAGAAGTCATGCCTTATCTCCCTCAACTTTGAAGGAATGAATACAGCAATCTAACACAGCATCTGTAAAATGGCCTTAAAAACGTCCTTTCAATTTTCTTTCCGAATCAGCCCCAAGCGAGTGTCATACATCTCAGCAATATGCACCACTTCCATGTCTCAGTATGCTGCAGCTGCATCAATTAAAGCTCAGCATTGTCATCTAACGTGCAACAAAAGTACTGCCTACAGTGTCTCATCTACTCAAAAATAATTCAACCACCAAAGCCAAAACATTTAATGCGGTACAAAGCCATGCACAAAATTCTGCGATCACAAAGCTTTGATTCATGCTGTCAGGTATGATTGTTGATTTATTTTATTTCTTTGTTATCGCCTACAACTGCACTGCATCATACTGAGAGCGGCCCCTAATATTGACACTATTTGATGGAAAATAACACTCGAAACAAATGATTCGAAATGCGGTGCGGTTCGATGCTACTGCACCATAGCGATCTTTCACAGAACCTGATGTAGGTGACATGCGGTATCTCAGTGGCCAGCAAATATATTTGTTGATATTGTTTCTGCAAATGATTCTTCAAAAGGTGAGTATAATTTGACAAACGGGGAATAAAAAGTGCAAGTGACCAAATGTAAGGCTGCAGCCAGTGTTTTAACAAGGTTATTTTTCATTCTTTTGTGCCCTAAAAAGGTTCTTGGGTCAATATGACCCGGTGCATGTTTCGTCATCAAAAATTAGGATTTAAAAATATTTCTTGGAGGTTTGTGAGACAATTACAGTCAGCTACATCATGTCAGTGTTTTCTTCAGTTTGTCAAGCTGTTACTTCATTCAGTGCCATTTTACTATCCACGTCTGCTTGTGTCCAGTTCTAAAAATAGCAAATGGTCAGGTTGCCAAATTTTGGAGCCCTTAGAACACAAGTCCAAAGGAATGACGTGACACTGTTACATGTCACTCTCATTTTAGGCGGTCAAGCGTGCTGTTATTTTAAGTGCAGCTCCACATTGTCATCACTGATATTTGTGGCATCCTGAGCAATTTCTCTTTCATTAGCACAGAAACAAGGAAGTTAACCTAATATGACTCTGAGTAATGTATCCGATGCGGTGTCATTTTCTCAGTTTCAGTTGAAAACCAAGGCGTGCAGAGATGATACCGTGCAGTGGGAAAGTAACATTGTATTGTGTTGTTCATTTTATAAATTGATAGGTAATCAGATTTAGTCCAAAATGTATTACAATGTTTTTTTTTGTCCCTCCTCAGGGCCCAAACAAGTACTTCCCATCACAACAACATATACAAATAGATGAATAACAATATACGTTTTAATGTCTCAGAAAGTCAAACATTGTTATAAAGCCCTTTGCTCAGAAACTGTGCCTGCCATGCAAGACAAAAACATTGATAAAATAACCACATTTTACGGTGACAATCAGAAACAAAATCAAAGAAATGCTCCAAAACCTGTTAGCTTATTATGTACTGAGTAGTACTGAGGATTTTTTGTCAAAACTGCCTTTTAATTTGTGATAAAACATTAGTATTCAGCTGCTATACTAAAAACTGAAATCCTGTCAAGTGAGATTTATTCCCAGCACTATTCGTCTGCACCACAAAGGACGCAGTGGTTGTCATCACGTGAAAACTTTTGATTTTTGTGCTCAACAGATGGCTACACAACAGATGATATCGAGTTCTACTGGCGGGGAGGAGAAGGTGCAGTATCCGGCGTCGACAGGATCGAGTTGCCTCAGTTTTCGATCGTCGACTATAAACTCATCTCCACGAAGGTGGTCTTCTCCACAGGTATCCAAAGCAATGCTTCAGTTCTTGCATTCTCAATAGGCAAAGTAGTACAGTGTTACAATGACTGAGACGTACTGCGAGGTTAATAAACTAAAAAGTTGCCTGTAGATGCCACTAGGGGTTGAACCGATTAGTGGACGAAGCAACTTTAATATTCCGCATCACCAACAAGGCAACGCAGCCTTCATATGTCTGTGCAGGTCCAGAGAAAATGAAAATAAGATGGTGGTGGATGTGAATCGCGGTTAGCTTTGTTAGCTTTGGCTATTCCGATCTCCGATGGCACAAGGGAATGAGAGCATGGATGCCACAAGCAAGAGGATTTTTTTCAACCAAAAATGAGAGCAGTAGTAAATCTATCTTCTACAATAAAAGCACAAGTGAAACAGTAACAGAAAAATGTTTGACCCCTCCATGCTGCACGATGGCAGCAAAGCATTACTTTCCTATTTGACAATTATATGGCCTGACTAAATGAAGCTCCTCCGCTGATGTCTATATAGTTCCTGAGCATCAAGAGGCCAAAAGATGGCGTCAGTGCACTACTCTTATATTAGACAGGGTTTAGTCCCGAGCACAGAAAGCCAATCGGCGACTTAGCAAATATATGAGGAACACATCATGTAATTTGTATGTATTAATTTGTAATTTGGCATTAGTGTCATAAACAATTGCCTGCTGTGCACATCAGCCAATATCAATGAGTAAAAATCTTGGTTCATTCCTTCAATCTCCTTCAGGTTCCTATCCCCGCCTGTCCCTCAGCTTCAAACTGAAGAGGAACATCGGTTACTTCATCCTGCAGACATACATGCCTTCCATCCTGATTACCATCCTATCCTGGGTCTCTTTCTGGATCAACTACGATGCCTCTGCCGCCAGAGTGGCCCTGGGTAGGATGGCACGGCTGCCCTAACCCCCAGTTACATCATAAAAAGCCATTTCACATAGATTGTGTGTGTCATGTGTCTGATGTGTGTTTTGACTGGTTTTCTCATTAGCTTTAAGCATGCCACTGATAGCAGATTGTGATAGGCTGCCGAGCTAAATGTCTGTTGTTCAGATGACTCCATGCATGACTCATGCAGAGAGAGGCGCAGCGGCTTGACCTTGAAACGTGCTGTCTTGCTCTCTGCCCGTCTGTCCCTCAACCGGCTAGCTAAGTGAAGCCCAATTACAATAATACACATTTTCATCTTTCGAGCCGTGCTAAAACGAAATGCCACGAAGCTCAATTTTGGCGTTGGGCTCGGAAGGTCAGAGCTGCACGAGGAGCCGGCTCCGAGCGTTTATGTGTGTCATTCTTGTCACGCGCCATTTGTGTTCCAAAGTGGGACGCATGCAGGTTGGCGGCCCGCATGGGATGTTTGGAGGTGAACGTGATTTCAAGAGCTGCCCGCTCGCGGCATCCTGCGAGCGGGCAGCGGCAAGCGAGTGTGCTGCCAATGAGACAGGAAGCTGCGAGCTGCATAAACCGCTGGGTTATTTATAATACGTGTGAATCTGACCAAATGCAGATTGTGCATGCAGATGACTAATGTATCAAGCACAGTGCGTGTATGTAGAAAAAACAAGACCAACAAACAAACAAAAAAAAACCTCAGTTGAATTCTTTTGTGACGAATGGCAGATGTTTGACAGCACTACAGTTTTTCTATTGTCCATTTGAATACATAATTGGATGCATAAAATACACCTGTGAAAAACACACAGCATTCACTTTTTACTCTATGCAGGTTTTAGGAGATTTTATCATCATCATCATCATCATCATCATAATCATACTGTATAAATTATTCAGTTCCGGATTTGCAGTCTCACTACTGTACTTCACAATTTTTTGGTGCAATTTCTAACTAAATTTTCTTATGTCTCCCAATTATTTGGGGTGTAATTCCACTCTTTAGTGTGACACGACATAAATGTGAAGAGTCTAAACAGGAAATAGATCTATTTCAAATTCATCCTGGCTTTCGCTGAAAATTGTTGAATGTTAAACATTCTAATCCTGCTTTTTATGCCTACAGAAATAAACATCTGTAGGCTCATTTTATAATGTACATCTTTGTACATTATAGAAATATATTGTGAGAAAAGTAAGTTCCAAATATTGTCTCAATTCCAAATTGTATGGCCAATTGTGGCCCTCTAATTTTGTGCCAGCACTGTATAACCGAATCCTTGGTTTATGACGTTTCAATGTCACTAATGGCACACAATTAACTTTCGTTCATTCATCCATTTTCCGATCCGTTCTATCCTCATAAGAGTCGCGGGAGGTTGCTGGAGCCTATCCCAGCCGTCTTCGGGCAGTCGGCGAGGGACACCCTGAACCGGTTCCCAGCCAATCACAGGGCACACAGAGGCAAACAACCATCCGCACTCACACTCACCCCTAGGGTCAATTTAGAGTGTTCAATCAGCCCGCCATGCATGTTTTTGGAATGTGGGAGGAAACTGGAGTACCCGGAGAAAACCCACGCAGGCACGGGGAGCACATGCAAACTCCACGCAGGGAGGTTGGAGCCGGAATCGAACCCACAACCTCTGCACTGTGAGGTCGACGCGCTAACCACTGGATCACCGGGCCACACAATTAACTTGTATCTGCTATATTTTTACTTAATTGTGTATTTATTTACAGCCTAGAAGTATTTTTCATACAAATATTTACTGTAATTATGACTTTACTACTGCCTTGATAGTTCAGTGTACTCAGAGTTAAAATCTGTTACGATACAGTCGTAGGTAACGAGGACCCCGACTACATACAGAAATAAAGACATTTAAACAATGGATTCATGAAACAAAAACAGATAACATATCCGGGATTAGTGACTATTTCTTCATCCTAATTTGCTGAGTTGTGAACAAACACGAAGCTAAAACAGTGTTTCCCAACTTTTATTGAGCCAAGGCAAAATTCGGTTGCAACAGGTTTACGGACAGCTTAATAGGATTCTGCCATCGAGTGGAAGAGGATTTAGTTTGGCCTGCCATTATATGTCACCAGCGTGGATAGATGACATACATTTCTTGTAAATAAATCGACATTTTCAGACTAATTAAGTGTTCCGTTGCGCGGCATACCAGTGGTTGGAAGTCACTCATTGTCAGAGATTTACCTGGACAAGTTTAAACAAAAGAACTCGACTCAGGGAAGATTGTCTTTGCAGTCGACGGGAGCAGGATTTCCCAGAGCGACCGACAGCAGTTGCTCCGCAAATCGCACTCAAAGTTCCCTGTGTTCCTCGTCAAACTTTTATTGTTTACATATGCAAAATACAAGAAAAACACTGTGCCCGATATTTGCGTACCACGCCCCCAGTCCGGCCCTTCGGTCGAAGATTTGATTAACTTTTGTCAAGCTTTGAACCACAGATATTCTAACACCTTCATGTCTGGTCTCCCATGAACAAAGAAGTCGCACACGTTGCAGATGACAAATGTTTCTTGGGCCGCGACCAGTTCCCAGACTGTCTTTTGATATTCTAAAACACTTCGTTCCTAAACTGTTGACTCCGGCAACTCCCTGTGGACTTCAAAGAGCCCTCCGCCCGAGACGGCGCTAAATACACAAACGTCTAGACAGGCCCAAATTAAATGAAACTTTAAACATGATATCATTTTGTTCGTAGATTTCTCTATCACGCATCTTCAACTCGTTCTTTTCCCTAATAATGTGGCCAAATGTTGGTTTCCAGGGATCACCACGGTGCTGACCATGACCACCATCAACACTCACTTGCGAGAGACGCTTCCAAAGATCCCCTATGTGAAGGCCATCGACATGTACCTGATGGGCTGCTTCGTGTTCGTCTTCCTCGCCCTGCTGGAGTACGCCTTCGTCAACTATATCTTCTTTGGCCAAGGCCCGCAGCGGCAGAAGAAAGCGGCTGAGAAGGCGGCCACGGCCAATAACGAGAAGCTTAGACCTGACCCCAACAAGGTACACATGCTGGCACCACCCTTGTGCAAAGGTTTTTGTGTGTGTGTGTGTGTGTGTGTGTGTGTGTGTGTGTGTGTGCGTGCGTGTGTGCGCGCTTGTGTGCCGGGTGACTGTCTGATTACCATCCATGAAAGAAATTGTTGTTCAAAATGATCCCGTGGGAGAAGACGAGCTCGTTATTCAAGATGAAGCGGCATTGAAGTGGGTGACTTTTTGTTCTTTAGGATGGCTGGCACTGCTTGTGTAAGTGTGTTTGTGTGTGTGTGTGTGTGTGTGTGTGTGTGTGTGTGTGTGTGTGTGTGCTGCTTGCAAATGATTTCTTCTCTCCAGATCAATGCGACCAATGCTAAATGTCCTCTTGAACTTCATTTATACTTGTTTGTGCTTCCAAAGGAGTGAATGCAGATGCAATGAGTGGCATTGTTACACTTGATCTCCATGTTGCTGTCTCTCTCAAAGGCAAGGAGCCTTGCAAAAAAAAAGAAAAAAAAAAAGAAAAAATCCATGGATGTGATCTCCCCTTTTTAAGTATACTACAGCGATAGCTCCAACAACAGCAACATATATATACATATACAAAAAGAAATTACACCCTTTCCTTGTGAGTGTGGCAAGCTACAATTTCCCAGAAGTAACAGTGCTGATTTTGTATGCTTGCAGTGGCTGGTGGGAAATGTAGTTCAGAGAGATGATGCTCTGTATGCCAGAATGAAACAGAGGGAAATTGACGCGTATGACTCGATGTGGGATCCCATCTTTGTGGACGATGCCGCATTAGGACTAGGCGAGCAAAGAAATAAGGTACTGGAGGTTTTGAAAGTCAAAACTAACGATGTCATCAATCTGAATCGATCCCGATCAGAGGAAAAAATGCTGTTAGTTTTTTGTGCATCTCTTTGAGTTCCATAGACTTTTTTCAGGCAACTTTGATCATCACTCCCACCATTGTGTTTTTTCCTCCCTCTCTTGGTTTGCTCTTCATGCATTTTCCTGACGTCCTCGGCTTAGCAGTTTGATTTCTACAGGCTTTCCCTAAATTCAACTTGAGCTGTACATTGAAATTGATGGACAATTCCAAATATGACACGAGAGGAGAAGGCATCAGTGGCTACAGTCGAATCATTGAGATACAAATACAGATAAGTCACTGTGGGTAAAATGGGATCGCTCGATGAGAGCTCATTCAGTGTTACGACTACGAGTGGCTTCACTTGAAAAACAATACTCATGGGTCGAGCTGATATTGGGACATTCAGAAGTCAGGCGATGGATGAAGAAATGTTCAAGTGAATTTACCTTTCCTGACCCACCTGAACCTTCTTAGCCTCTCTCCTCCATTTCTGCCAAGCCCCTTACAGTTTCTCTCAACCTTCTCCTGTCACATTTTCCTTTGCCTTGCTTTCTCTTTGATTTAATTCCGTTTGTCTTTGTTGTGAAACGACAGAATTTTAGCCATGCCGGTTGAAATTCTGAGATGAAATTAGTTTGTGGCGTGTGTTTTTGCTTTTCCAGGAATGTTCTGTCATAGTGCTGTGGTTATACGATCACATACAGATGATCAGTAGTTGAGAAAATGTACAGTGGAACCTCCTAAATCAAAATCAAACACGTATCTATTTGGATTTCAAATGTATTTCAGTTTCCAAAGGAAGCCTCACAAAATGAATGTTATCCATCAGCCAACGTTTTTCATAGTGCTTGTCCTCAGCTGACTTTGGGCGAAAGGTGGCACACAAGCCTAGATTCAAACCCCCAACCTCAGAACCATAAGGCGGCTGTGCTAACCCAGTAGTTGTAACATTGTTTTTTTTTTCACACCAAGTGGCACCATCATGACTTGATTAAAATATAGTAGCGAATTAGGCCCAAGTGAAGCTGCTGCACTAATGTTATGATTCAGTCAAAATGTGTTGCATGTACAAGTTAAATAATAAAATTAAGGATGTGGAGGTCTGCTTGCAGTTCCTTCTAAACATACTTTGTGTGCCTCAAGCTGCCACAAGACATAAGCAAATCAGTTTATTTTTTTCGCCTCTCAGGAATGAGAGGAGCCTCTTCAATTGGCGGCAAATCAAGCCAGCTGTGTTCCCGCTCTGAAGGTGCAAAACTAATTTAAATGCGCCACGCTGAGACATCTTACACGGGTCTGTGAAAATACCATAACTTAGTCTAGCCCACCCCTGCGCAGATTTAGACCGCGCTTTGTGCCAGCCTTGCTTGGGCATGAAAAATAAGCCATTCGAGTTAGTCCATAGTAAATTCCAATTTTCATAATGACAAAAGGGGTTCCACTGTACTGCTTTTCTAATTTCTTAGAATGTACTGCTAGTGACAATTTGCATTACCTGCTATAGTATTCACAATGAAGTGTTCACTCGTCTCACGTACATGGTGCAGGTGACCCTAACTTTCTTCCATTTCCCACGAGCAGTCACTTCTCATTGGCTCCGCCTATCTTTGCGCCCTCACGCTGCAGATGACTCCCGACGACAACATCCTGTTCAGTACCCTGGAGATGAAGAACGAAATGGGGGGTGCCGGAGATCTGTCCCGAGGCCTGGGAGCGCCCGGAGATCCCCGCAACACTATGCTGGCTTACGACAGCTCCACGCTGCAGTACCGCAGGGCGGCCATGGCCCGCCAGAACTATGGCCACAGCGCCTTGGAGCGCCACGCTCAGAAGAAGTCGCGCCTACGGAGACGGGCCTCGCAGCTCAAGGTCAACATCCCGGACTTGTCCGACGTGAACTCTATCGATAAGTGGTCCAGGATGATCTTCCCCACCGTCTTCTCCTTCTTCAACGTGGTCTACTGGCTCTACTACGTCCATTAAGCTCGGCGGCCATCTCCAGGCCGTCTCACGAAGATGGGGAGCAGGGGATTCAGATGGAATAAAGAATTAAAGAGAGATGAACGGTGCGCCACCTTTTAGCGGGTTCATTTTAGACGACGTGAAGAGAGTGCAAAGACATTTTGGACAGACAGCGGCAGCAGCACCAACACTGAAGTGACTCTTTTAGCATTTGGGAAACACCTTCCATGGATTGGACAAACACTTTAAAAACAAGAGTTTTAAAAAGGACAGTGATGGTGCAGGAATTTCAATATATCACTATTTGTCATTCGTAGCTTACTCTCTGTGGATCAAATATTTATGCTTGTGTTTGCATATACTTTAAGGATTTGTTTTGTTTAGTATCTATTTACTTCGTAGCCAAGCCGTCTGCATCCGGGAAAGCTTTATAAATGATTTCAAAGGAGTCATCCTTGATAGTCTATTTTCCTATAATTACTGTAAATCCTAAACATCCTTTGAAGAGCATGCTCACGCTTGATTTTCTTTGCGTCTCAGTTGCGATGGTGATGATAGTGAAGATGGCGTGGAAGGTGGAATTGGCAGTGCCAATGCCGGATAGAAAAGGAAAAACACGTCATGGACATCTGGTGAAGGAGTTGTTGGACATTTTGACCTTTCTGTTTTTGCTTTTGCAGCACGGACCAAATCGAGTCCGTTTCACCCTGTTTATTTTTTGAAACAAAAAAGGACATTCGACTCGTCCTTACATTGTGCCATGGTGAGAAGAGCTTTAGAGGAGGGGAATGGCTTTAACGGGACAATCGAGTGGAAGAAATATGAATCGGCTGTCCTTTCATGACAATGAGTTGCTGCATAAATATGGCAATCCACAATCATCTTTATCAGTAGAATTGAATGATAGAAGTATGATACGTTTCATTGTGGTTAGGTTTCTGTTATGAAAAAAAAAATGTAGATAAATACAAATCATGTTAAAAGAAAGAGATGATTCATTTTTATAAATCAGTACTCACATTGTGTAAATATCAATTTATTCTATTTGACTGTCGTTGTTTTGCAGTTGAATTACACATCAATAATTTTCCAGGCCGTCAAAAAAAAAGGGAAAAAAAACAAAGACACGAGCAAGTCAAATGAGCTTAAAAAAGAAAAGAAAAGAAAAATGAAACACAGATCCTCAACTTTGCTGTCGATGTGCTTTTTGGATTTTTCTCCCCCTTTTTTTTCTTTTTAATGGACTCTTGAAGCACCTCCTTGCTGATACTAAAGCACTTCCAGACATCAGTGGCTACTGGATCCATGTTTTGTTCTCCGCAAACGACTTAACAAGGACCCCGCTACAGGCATTGAAGTCAGGCGTATTTTGTACAAAGTCTATGTAAATTCCAATTGTAATATTTCATAAAGGATGTAAATATGTTGTGTAATGATTGTCAACAACTATGAAGATGTATCTAAATTCAATTAAAACTCAATACAGTCTATCACTTCAGTAACAAAGTACAAAGTGACATTTTCTTTGGCTGGCCTCACACCTTCAAGACTGTTACACACATTCAATCTCAGGTTAAATGGGAGTCTCTGATTAAACCCCAACTAAATTCCAGATGTTCAAGTAGAAAGTAGACATTTTCCCTCATGTTTGGGAGATTTTGCGATGGTCCCTCTCAAAGGGATTTGTTTTCAATTCAGTGGAATTGAACAGGTCATATATCATCTTAATAGTGGAAAAGCGTTGTCAGGATGTATCTTGGTCTCATTATTTTATATCACAATAATATGGGATTTGAACTGACACTGATTATAACGTCATTGTTATCAGTCACCTGATTCTGCTGTCTTCACCTGCTATCGCTTTTCATTTTGACTCAAGTTACAAAATATGTAGCTTTTTTTCTGTACCTGTGCATGAACAATGAAAGCCACGCTGTGAGCGCGTAGAAGAGTGTGTGATGAATAGAGACGTGCGCAATGAATCTCGGAATGCATAATGGATGGAAAAGAGGTGACGTAAATGCAGAGCCGCATTCATATGCAGGCACGCTTTTGACTTGTGTCCAAAAGAAATAATGACTGCTGGAAATTAAAAAAAAAAAAATGAATACAGGGAGCGGAAGAAAAAGGAGAAAGAGTCCTCCATCGCTCCACTGCTGCGCTTGCTTCTTTGACCGAAACACTGTTGCACCCCTTACATAGCTGCTTGTGAATATTTCATATTGCAAAACACTGAATATTTAATATTTTAAAAGGGATTTTGTCCTAGCTGAGAATAATGTACGACTAATGTTTGATTTCCAACTAAGCACACAATGAAAGACCAGTAAAATGCAAGCTGTTTGGATCCCTCAAATCATCAACATCTACAGAAATCGAAGATGTAGGAATTTGGAGTGCGCCATGATTCTTAATCCGAACATACAAGACCTTCAATTGCTTTGTATGATGGACACGAAAAAAGAAATACTTGGATACACATGTAAACATAAAGGTGCCGGGTTAATTGAAGTACCTTGCACAATACTGTACTTATTATGGGTTGAGTGACAAAAGATTTGTTTTAGTCGCTTATAATGTAAACGTGAATCGATAACGCCATTGATATTTTTTCAACTTTAGACAGCGGTTCACGACTTTTTTTGTGCCACGGAGCAGTGTCATGCAAAGACATATTTCGACATACTGGCACGGCAGCAATTAAAGCTACAACTCACCATTAGGCTCATTTTCAACTTTTTTTACAACTTGTTTTTCTCTTTTGCGAGGGAATTCTAGCATTTGAGGTCCCTTGTTGACTTTATAAAAAAATGAAGGGCAGATTAACTGCAGATCTTGCGATCTCAGGGAAGACACAACCATGCTTTTAACAGAGCTGCACGTCATTTATGAATGTGTGTAACAAATGCTCACGGGGGTTTGGGAAAAAAAAATTGCAAAGTGGTGTAAAATGTGATGTAGCCCGACATCTAATCTGGTTTTATGGATTTTATGCATCGCTAAAAAACAGATATGTTATTTCATGACAAAAGACAAATGCTTTGTGCTCTCTTAGAGCTGTTATTGTTGGCATTTATAAGAAAGAAGGGAAAAGGCAGATGCTTTCGACTTTGTAGTCTTTTCATGTCACTGAACTAATTAGGGATGCAAGGCACTCTATGTGGAAGCATGTGTGTGGTTTTAGTCATTGTGTGCGCGCGCGCGCGTGTGTGTGTGTGTGTGTGTGTGTGTGTGTGTGTGTGTGTGTGTGTGTGTGTGTGTGTGTGTGTGTGTGTGTGTGTGTGTGTGTGGGTGTGTGTGTGTGTGTGTGCGCGCGTGTGTGTGGGCATGCGCACATTCACAGCTGCGCCACCGTACAGTCCATGTGCTAGCCGACTACTGATTTTGGCAAACACATCACACACACCTGACCATTCAAGGACATTGTACTTTTGATTGATGATGGTAATTTCTAAAAAATATCAATTTCCTTTACGCAATGCATTCCATCCAGGCAGGGGTGCTTCGGTTCACTGTGGAACTATAGTAAGTGTTATCAATGGCGTGACCCCTGTGCAAATCTGGCTTGTTTGAACAGTTTCCGCAGCCTGATATGGAAAAGACAACATATGTCAACATGAGGAAGTGCAAGGCATCCTACATACATGCCATCTGTGCAAAAGCTGCTTTTTGGAGACACAAAAGCGTACATTTAAACGCTATCATTCAATCTAGATTGCGCAAGCTGACATCAGTGCTCTTACAATAGACCAGTGCTTCTCGATTATTTTCTGTTACCGCCCCCCCCCCAGCAAGAAGGAAACAATTCGCGCTCCCCGCCACCCCACTCTCTGTCACCACTATAAATAATGTCATTTGTCTATAACATTGTGATAAGTACACCTCTGCATTACAGTCTATACTTATTAACACTGAAGAAAAGAAAAAAGAAAGAAATATAGTTCAACTGACAGCAAAGAATAACTTTATTCACATTGTTTTTTAGTCTATAACAGAAAAGATTTTAAGTGCATCAAGTTGCCTGAAATTGAAATGGAAAAAGCCTTGTTTGAACTGTAAACATTTTTGACCAATTTATTGCACTTGATTCTAAAAATTAAACTCAAATAAAATAAATAAATAACTTGAAAATTCAGTTGTACAACATTAATTCAGGGGCACAATTATAAACCACTTTAGTTTACAAAACAAAAACGAACAAAACAATCTATGCTGATTTTTTTCTTTTTTTTTTCTTTTTTTTTTTAAATCAAAATGAGGAAGTTAAGATTAATGGCTACAATGAGCACATTTTGCAGTGCACAGCTTGTCGTAGCGAGGTTTGAAGTATGATACTGCAACTCTCAGCTCCTGCTCAATGTTTAGCTTTGACCTTTGACCAACTCTCAGCTCCAGCTGCACTGAAGAAGCCAATCTCACAATGGTAAGATGTGCATTTGGTTGCGTTCATCTTTGGTGATGTTAGCTCTTCCGTTTTTTACCTCAGTTTTAATTAGATATGGTGGAGAAAGGTTTTACAAAAAAAACAAAAAAAAAAAACTGTGTACTGCACCAAAAGTAGCATTGCGCCAAAAGTAGATTTGTACATTGCTCGCTCGCATAAGAACAACAGCCATAGATATGAATAGGTCGATACTGACATGCTCCTTGTAAACTGCGTACCTGCGGTGATGCTAAGCTAACATTCATGATTTCCATTTGTCGGGACTCCCTCCCCTGCTAACATGCCTGCCACTTATGTCCATACGTTGTTTTTGATGGGAAAGCCACCCCTGCCAACATGGCCGCCACATTGGCGCATTTTTTTTCATCACCCGCTCTCGACTACTAGGTGAAAAATGACCTGCTCTTACAGGAATAAAGTCATAATCTTAACAGGGCAGGGAAAGGTTACTGAGCCAAACAGTGCCAACGGTGTGTTGCGGGAGTGGCTATGCAGTACCTAAACATCTGTTGAAACTGAGTGAAAGTGCGAGGACAGCCCAGGAGGTTAACAAAGTCGTGGATTGTGTATTGCAGTTAGGGAGCGGCCCCACACCAAGCAGCTAAATCTCATGGGCGTGTGCATAGAGGAGACGTGCTCGTGTACATTGAGAATGGGTGTACTTGGCCTCAAGAGAAAAGATCTGGTTAACTTTCCAAGCAATTTTAAAAATGTGAGACCCCACACAATGAGAAAATAAAAGTCTTCAAAGGAAGTTTCATGAGAGCACATAAGAGCTGAAAAACACAGCCCTACATTGATTGAGTCAACATTTATGGCAACTTTTTCAACACAGGGGTAGGTCAATGTTCAGTGCGAGGAGAGGCAACATAGGTGCAATGCTGGGCAATAAACACACATTGGACAAGGAGGACACAAAGAAAAACAATGCCATAATACAGAGCAACAAATTGGAACCGCAAACAAGCTTTGCACTGGCATGTTATTACACAAAAAGTTTACTTCTGCAAGTTTTCCTTCTGTAGATCAAATATTCATTTTTTACTGCTGCAAACGTCATATATCCGTGAAGTATCGCTTTAATGTTACGAGTGGTAAAGTTAAAAACACTAAAATAATTTGAACCAATGTGTGTCCAAATTTAAAGGAGAAAAAAAAGTGTCATAATGCAACATAAACCTGCCATATATTCATCAAACGATATAAAATATTTTATTTAGAATACAGACAAGCCCTACAAAAGAGGAAATGTGAATCCATGTGACTTTTTCAAAAGACAAAATGATTATGTTTTTGCTTGTAATATTAAATTATATGATATGTATTGTAGTATTATTATTTTGTGCTTTTTCCAGTGGCCCTAATACTCCTTCATACGTTTACACAGGCAGAGGCCACATGCATGTTTGCCTCCAGCGACATTTTGATGTCACTTCACTTCTTTTTTCCTGTAGTGCACCATTTTCAAGAATAATCATCAGTGTACGCGACTCAGTCTCACATGCATATGTCATGCTGTCATGCTGCACTCGGAGTCAATGTCAGACTTTGTAATGTTCATTTGCTGGGATTCTCTTGCAATTAGATTTCATGTCACACAGCAATCAGCAGTCATTGTGACATTATAAAACCACTTATTGTGATGATACAGTATAGTCAAACTATTTCAGCATAAAAAGTCATACTGATCCACCTGCATTCCCAAGTGGCCAAACAAGACAGGTGAAAAAAAAGAGTGATAAAGACCAAAAGATTTCTGCACAGCAACTGTATTTCTGCTCTCCCGGAGACTGAATGACTTTAGGAATGTGAACACACCTGTCAATGCGAAGGGCGGAGCTAGTCAGAAAAGTGCTGTCAATTGTGTGAATCAGGCCTCAAATACACACACGAGCTGGAAGAGTGAGACAGCAGCCAGCGAATGGAAAGAAAGGGAGCTTGTTGAGAATCAGGAGAAGAGAGAGCTCTTCCATGGCATGGTGGAACCCTCTGGCCCTGATCAGGGATGCCCTGACAGGTCAAAGGGTACGGGAGAATGACCTTCGCCACTTGGTATCCAATCTGCCTTATGAAGGCCTAGGGAAGAAGAAACAGCCCAACCGCTACTTGCCGGGAAACGCTATCAAGACCACCAAATACACCCTCCTCCTCTTTCTCCCGCTCAACCTCTTTGAGCAGTTTCACCGTCTGGCTAACATCTACTTTGTGGGCCTGGCTATCCTCAACTTTGTGCCGGTGGTGAACGCCTTTGAGCCCGAGGTGGCTCTTATCCCCATTTGTGTCATCTTGTCTCTCACTGCCCTTAAAGACGCTTGGGAGGACTTCAGGAGGTACCAGTTGGACAAGAAGCTCAATAGCATGCCGTGCTTCATCTACAGCAGGTAACATCCGAAGTACACGTGTGCGTTGAGAGCACAATGGTGCATTCAAGGCACCTCTGTGATCAAAATAAATGAGTGTGTGCATGAGTGTGTGCAGCCAGTGTGTGTGTGTGTGTGTGTGTGTGTGTGTGTGTGTGTGTGTGTGTGTGTGTGTGTGTTTTTTCTCCTCCCCCTCTGCCTGTGCATTCAAGGCACCTCTGTGATCAAAATAAATGAGTGTGTGCATGAGTGTGTGCAGCCAGTGTGTGTGTGTGTGTGTGTGTGTGTGTGTGTGTGTGTGTGTGTGTGTGTGTGTTTTCTCCTCCTCCTCTGCGTCTGAGCCCCCTGTGGGAATTCTTGACTTAGAAATAGAAATTGTGTGGGAGATTATTCCTCTTTTGAAGAGGCTCACAACAGTATATCTCACCACGGCATTGTGCACATTTGATGAAAGCCTCAACTGGGTGTTGTGTCAGCAGAGACATTAAGGTTAGCGGGTATCTATTTTGGAATCACTGGTGTAAAATGAATAATTTAGAAAGGAGGATAAAACTCTGTCATTTTCCCAAGCTTTTCAGTGGTGTGATTTTAGAGTTACTGTGAGAGGAGGAGGAGTGGAGTGTGTGTATTTCCTTGCATGTGAGGCTGAAGGGTTCCGCAAGACTTCCAAGTGATGAGTTTAACCTCCATGAGGGTTTATCATTTGAACTGGCAGCTGCTTGCTTTTATGCTTGGCACAAAAGTTGGTCAGCGGGGATGTTGAGGAGGATACACATGTGCATGCGTATGTGTTTGTTTGTCAGCCGAGATGGCCTTGAGCGCCTTGAAGACAGACACTTGTCACCTCAGCCTCAAGCAATGAGACAAGCTCTCTGGTTGGACAAGATTGACTTTTTTCTTTGGCCATTTATGGCTCATAGGGTTTTGAAAGTCAATGCAACCAAATGGATGGCTAATATCCAAAACAACAACGCATAGAGAAAGCATTGGCACGCCTTATCTTCTTGGCCATCTAATCTACTTTATCTCGACTTCACACTCTTGTCATTCCACCTGCGCTCAAGCAACCCAAACAAGAAACTATTGCTGTTCTGCAAGCAGTGCTCAGAAAGGTTGGCTGAGGCCACCTTTTCCTGTAATGATAACCGGCTGAACACATCTGAAACTAATCCAAAAGAGCAATATATGATGGCTGGATAATGGCTTGATTGGAAGGGCAAATGAAGACCATTTTGGATACAGAGTTCATTTTGGCCCACACTAGAAAATGCTAAGAGTTCTAGCTACGTAGATGGATAATAGAATGTTCCCTTGAAAATGCCTTTAATGGACAATTTAAATGCCGACCATCCTGGATACACAGCTCAATATAATAATATAATTTCATCTAAAAGGTTTTCTCATCTCATCTCATCTTGTCCCCATGCTACCTTACAGATATGGACACAGACATCTAGCCAGCTAGCTAGAAAGGGACCTTTACACCATGACGAGACACTGTACTTCTGGGTGGCAAAAACTCACATGATCTCCAATTGTACTAGTAGTCACAATAAAACCGCTGAAATGTTAACTGAACAGTTAGAACAAATGAGAAAACAGGCTAAATTGTTTGAGTGAATTCTACCTGTCGTTTGATTGTGTAATGTGTCAATCGAAAAGAAAACGTTATCTGTCATATATTTGAGATGGTACAGGGGGCTTGCTTTACGTTGCAACAGGTAAATTCATTAAAAAAGGGTGTGGTGGAACCTGTTAACAGGATCATTGAGGGACTGGCTTATTAACTGAATTGACTTTTCAGTTCCTCTGATTAATGGCACAGATGTGTTCTTTTGACTGTAAAATGGATAGATCGCAGTTGAACTGACATTATCTGGCCAGCTTGCCACTATGTTTTGCTAAATTACTCAAGAACAAACCAACCAAACATTTCAGACATACCTGGGAAAAACTGCAGTGATGACAGATTGGTTCCTGATCTGTCCCTTTAGAAGTGGGTACTCTGCCACCACGCAATTTTGTAATCTCTCTACAAATATTTACATCCACTCGATTTATCCATCTCACCCACAGGTTGTCCATAGTTTTAAATTTACTAACAAAACCTTCTGGGGCCAACGCAACCCCAAACGCAGCACGTTTTTGCTGTTGTTTTCAGTTCAGGTCAGTGAGAGTCAGTCGCTTTCTGCCACCCCAAATTACCCTGGTCCCTTCTGGTTACAAACATTATGAAAGCAAACATGAAAAGGCATGGAAGGATGGATGGATGGATGGATGGATGGATGGATGATGTCTAGATAGACAGATAGATAGATACTGTAGATCAGGGGTGGCCAACCAGTCGGAGACGAAGAGCCAATTTTTTTACTGTGTTACTGCAAAGAGCCACATCATTCCCTTCCTCGCGCACGTGCGAGCGCGCACGCGCGCGCACACACACACACACACACACACACACACACACACACACACACACACACACACAAACACTTTTTTGGCCAAAGATCGACTTCTGAAGCGACCAACTTCTCACGAACGACCCGATCGCGCAAGTGCAAGCATAAACACACACGCGCACACACATGCGCGCTCGCACTCACGCGGGTGCCCACCAGTGCACTCGCGCACATATGCACGCACACCACGTTGAGCAACAGTCGGAACGGGCTGAAAATGAATGAAAGCTAATGATACAAACAAACAAATCTTTTTTTTCCCCACCCATTTCCTCCTCCCACCCCTTGCGGTCAACTTGGGACCAGTTCGCTGGCTCCCGGTCGATTCTGATCGACGTATTGGGTGACCCCTATCTTAAAATCAGAGGTAATTCGCTGACGAGCTTAGCGTTTAGCGCCGTTGTTTGCGCATGAGCGGTGATGCAGTCATCTGATTGGTTGCCCTCTATGTCAATCAAGTACCGGGCTTGATGATAGGCTGACGGAGTACGTTCTGTGAAGTTAACGCCTCGTTTGAATGGCATCGCCACTGCCGATGCGTTTTCGACGCTTGTCGTGTGAGAGCCCGGGAGCCGCATTGAACCAGCCAAAGAGCCGCATGCGGCTCACGAGCCGCGGGTTGGCCACCCCTGCTGTAGATAGATAGATAAAATAAAACGATAAATTGCACCAAAATATAAACGCGACACTTTGTTGTTGCTCCCTTTTTTCATGAGCTCGACTCAAAGACCTGAAACTTTTTCTAAGTACTGTACACAAAATTTCCCTCAATTATTGTTCACAAATCTGTCAAAAATTTTGTGAGTGAGCCTTTCTCCTTTGTCGAGATAATCCAGGCCACCTCATGGGTGTGGTTTATCAAAATGCTGATCCGACAGCATAATTAGCGCTCATGTGTGCCTTAGGGTGGCAACAATAAAAGGCCACTCTGAAATGTGCAGTTTTATCAAACAGCACAATGCCACAGATGTTGAATATATATAAAAACTGGGAGCAAAACCAAAAGTGTTGCATTTATATTTTTGTTTGTTTTATATAGCGCTAGTGATGCATTCAAAAATGCAAGTGACTAAAATACATACGCTTCAGCTCTTTGAACCCCAGGTGTGGTTTTGTGACGAAGCCACCCGATCAGGTTGTACATGAAGGGCAGCATACCAGCAATTGTCTGTCACTGCGAGTTAGCCAACGTTTCAAGCACAGCTAAATACACAAGATTTTTCACGGGAAGCCTCGCAGCCTGAGGGCAAAAGGGCCTCTTGATTCAACTTCTACGAGTAGCATGCAAAAATCCCTCATGTCTCCTGTGAAAAAAAATAATGGTACGTCTTTCAGAAAAGACAAGCAATTTGGGGAGCGCCGTTGGAAGGATGTGCAAGTGGGTGATTTCGTGAAGGTGCTTTCCAACGAAATCGTCCCTGCAGACCTCCTGCTATTGCACACATCAGACCGCAAAGGGATGTGCCACATAGAGACGTCCAACCTGGATGGCGAGACCAACCTCAAAGAGAGAAAGGTGGTTCCCGGCATCTGCGCCACGGTGAGCATAACTGGTAGTTAGTTACACCCATTCTTTCAGTCATTATTGATGACAACCGAACAAAGTAAGCTGATGTGTCTGACTGATGTGTTTTATGAACATTTTTTACCTTCCTCAACACTCACAAACCTTCGCCATTCAGTGGGGTACGTGCTCATGACCTGGAACCCCGCTGTCTTTCCACAGGAGCCCAACTTTGAACCTGAAAGTTTCAACAGTGTTGTGGTGTGTGAAAGGCCCAACAACAATTTGAATCACTTCAAGTGTTATGTGTGAGTATCAAATACAGTTGATCCTCTAAAATCAAACACAATCTGTTTCAGGATCTGATGCTGGTCAATTCTGAGTTGCACTGAATTCAAATTAACGTTTTCAATTGAGTTCAATTATATTTGGAAACAAATCAGTCGTCAAAGAATTCACCATCATTAAATGTTGAGACTGTACAGGCAGTGCTTTGACTAACATTTTAACATTACTGACTGCAGCAGAAGTTTACCACAGTGTTTTTCAAACCCTGTGCCGCGGCACACCGGTGTGCCGTGAGACATTGTCAGGTGTGCCACGGGAAAATATCCAATTTGTATGCCTGTGCGGTCTATCGCCCAGAAAGTAATCGTGTCGTACCCTCCCATACCGCGAGGGAGAAGCGGGAGCTAGCCAATTGCCTTGTGTTTCGACCACTAGAGACAAGCGAATTTGTGCCGCTTGAATGCAGGACGACAGTGAAACAATAAATATGAAAGCTTATAAAATACTTTTTTCTTTGTGTTCATTTGATTCCAATTCAAGGTGTTATAACGTCATTCTTCAATGTTAAAAACGGTTATAGTAACAATATAATACGTTAATTGTTCAAATAAGCGTTTTTTTTCATATTTTCAGCTAGTGGTGTGCCGTGAGATTTTTTTCAATGAAAGAAGTGTGCCTTGGCTCAAAAAAAGTTTGAAAAATACTGGTTTACCATCATATAAAATGATGAAAACAAAACCAAACAAACAAACAAAAACATGCTTAACTGGACTGGTGAACAAAAGGTGTGGGAGGTTGATGTTGGAAGGTCCACAGCCCAAATAGATGGATGCCTGGATTCATGAAACCCTTCAGAGCAGAGCAAAACCTAATTCCTACCCACTCGCCGCACTTTCAGATGCCTTCAGAGACATCATTCGAGCTGTAATAGAATCTAATCAATTTCCCCGGGAGTTACAAACCGAAGATCTCATCTCTTCTTACTGCCCAGATGTGGCCTAAAAGGCAGACAATTGAAAATGTGGCACGTATACAATGAATGTCGAACAAGGAGTATTCTTTCTTCTGCCACAGGGAGAAACCAAATACAGAAAAGGTGGGCGCTGGAATTGAGAGTCTGCTGCTTCGAGGTTGCACTGTCAGAAATACCGACCACGCTATCGGCTTTGTGGTGTACGCAGGTATTTGTGCACTTTCTCTTTCCATCTCGCGTGGCTGGATTTACACTTCACAGACATATGGATGCCCAGTTGAGATTTAGTGCCTATATCTCTGTATGTGTGTATAGCTACAGTATATGCAGTGTACAGAATCTATCTATCTATCTATCTATCTATCTATCTATCTATCTATCTATCTATCTATCTATCTATCTATCTATCTATCTATCTATCTATCTATCTATCTATCTATCTATCTATCTATCTATCTATCTATCTATCTATCTATCTATCTATCTATCTATCTATCTATCTATCTAGCTATCTATCTATCTATCTATCTATCTAGCTATCTATCTATCTATCTATCTATCTAGCTATCTATCTATCTATCTATCTATCTATCTGTACTGTTGGCCTGTCTGTCTATCTATCAGAGTGGTGTTCCGTCACACACGTATATATACATATATATATATAGAGAGAGAGAGAGAGAGAGAGAGAGAGAGAGAGAGAGAGAGAGAGAGAGAGAGATATTTTGTTTATTCCTCATGTCTCCTGTGAAAAAAAATAATGGTACGTCTTTCAGAAAAGACAAGCAATTTGGGGAGCGCCGTTGGAAGGATGTGCAAGTGGGTGATTTCGTGAAGGTGCTTTCCAACGAAATCGTCCCTGCAGACCTCCTGCTATTGCACACATCAGACCGCAAAGGGATGTGCCACATAGAGACGTCCAACCTGGATGGCGAGACCAACCTCAAAGAGAGAAAGGTGGTTCCCGGCATCTGCGCCACGGTGAGCATAACTGGTAGTTAGTTACACCCATTCTTTCAGTCATTATTGATGACAACCGAACAAAGTAAGCTGATGTGTCTGACTGATGTGTTTTATGAACATTTTTTACCTTCCTCAACACTCACAAACCTTCGCCATTCAGTGGGGTACGTGCTCATGACCTGGAACCCCGCTGTCTTTCCACAGGAGCCCAACTTTGAACCTGAAAGTTTCAACAGTGTTGTGGTGTGTGAAAGGCCCAACAACAATTTGAATCACTTCAAGTGTTATGTGTGAGTATCAAATACAGTTGATCCTCTAAAATCAAACACAATCTGTTTCAGGATCTGATGCTGGTCAATTCTGAGTTGCACTGAATTCAAATTAACGTTTTCAATTGAGTTCAATTATATTTGGAAACAAATCAGTCGTCAAAGAATTCACCATCATTAAATGTTGAGACTGTACAGGCAGTGCTTTGACTAACATTTTAACATTACTGACTGCAGCAGAAGTTTACCACAGTGTTTTTCAAACCCTGTGCCGCGGCACACCGGTGTGCCGTGAGACATTGTCAGGTGTGCCACGGGAAAATATCCAATTTGTATGCCTGTGCGGTCTATCGCCCAGAAAGTAATCGTGTCGTACCCTCCCATACCGCGAGGGAGAAGCGGGAGCTAGCCAATTGCCTTGTGTTTCGACCACTAGAGACAAGCGAATTTGTGCCGCTTGAATGCAGGACGACAGTGAAACAATAAATATGAAAGCTTATAAAATACTTTTTTCTTTGTGTTCATTTGATTCCAATTCAAGGTGTTATAACGTCATTCTTCAATGTTAAAAACGGTTATAGTAACAATATAATACGTTAATTGTTCAAATAAGCGTTTTTTTTCATATTTTCAGCTAGTGGTGTGCCGTGAGATTTTTTTCAATGAAAGAAGTGTGCCTTGGCTCAAAAAAAGTTTGAAAAATACTGGTTTACCATCATATAAAATGATGAAAACAAAACCAAACAAACAAACAAAAACATGCTTAACTGGACTGGTGAACAAAAGGTGTGGGAGGTTGATGTTGGAAGGTCCACAGCCCAAATAGATGGATGCCTGGATTCATGAAACCCTTCAGAGCAGAGCAAAACCTAATTCCTACCCACTCGCCGCACTTTCAGATGCCTTCAGAGACATCATTCGAGCTGTAATAGAATCTAATCAATTTCCCCGGGAGTTACAAACCGAAGATCTCATCTCTTCTTACTGCCCAGATGTGGCCTAAAAGGCAGACAATTGAAAATGTGGCACGCATATAATGAATGTCGAACAAGGCGTTTTCTT